CATAAGAATATAAATAATTATATTAATATATAAAAAATATTAAGAAAAATAAATACCATTAATTAGTCATATTAAACACTTTTTGGTTGTTACATTTTTCCTAAAATAGAACCTTATTTTTAATCACCATATATATATACCAGCAGTAATATTTTTAAAAAAAGAACACTGGTTATATAATTAACTAACTTTTTTATGCTACTTAAACATAAATAGTATTTAATTAATTAATGACAAAAATCTGTTGGAATTTAATAAGTTTCTCAGTATTTTCAGGCAATGAAACCCATTGTTAAGTGCTACACAAATGTTAAAAATACTTGATAAATCATTGAAGTTGAACTCCAATAAAACATAGTTTTGTCACAATTTAAAGAATTTAATGTTGTTTTCACTGTTTATAAATAGTGTTCATCTAAATTCTGCATTAATCATTTGCATATTTTTAAATAAATGAGATATTTTGTTCTTTCATACACATTGAGTCTACTATAAACTACTTTCATATAAAATTTCATTTAATTCATAATTTTTCAAATATTTAAAACTTTCAGAATTCTTACTAAATTTCTCACAAGTTAAAATTTAATGTTTTCTAACAGAAATTAATTATTAAAAAACAAACCCTGTAAACAAAACTTTGTAGATTACAAGATTTCTTAAGAATTTTTTCCAATTATAAAGATAATTTTTGAAATTATTTAATAATTTATAAAATTAAAAACTATACTGTTAAATGAAAACATCAAATTCATCTAAACAAATTTGATGTTAACAAATTTGATTTAAAGATTTGTACAGTAATATTAACAGCAGAGGTAAATTTTCTAATGAATTACAATATGAAATGAAACACACATGGCATGTATCCAAAGATTTTGCAAGCATGACATTGAGAAATATTTTTCCATCTTTTACTTAAATATGATTAAATATTAATAAATTTAAAAAGCTGCTTTATTGAAGCTTTAAATTTATTAAGAAATGGGAGTTTATTCATTATTGTAACTAAATATCATTGTCAATTAAATAAAGGAGTAAAGAATAACAAATTTGATATAAAATATAGATACCTAGTATTGTATTTTGCAAAGAAAGCATGAAACTGAAAGTATCAAAGAACTTTCTAGTAAAAAATAAAACAAATCTATTAAAAAACAAAAGGTCATTACTTTTCTCTGTAAATTATGCAAGTATTGTAAATACTTGTATAAGTAATTTATCAATGTTAATATATTTTAATATAAAATATACCAAAGAATTGTATAAAACATAACATCACATTCAAATGTCATAAAAATAGCTTCAAAGTTTCAATAATCCAAGAAATGTATACTAATCCTAAAAGCAGAGTGTCATAAAGTGATTTATTGTTTCTACATTCCATACTGAGTTTTTAAATATTAAACATATTAATTTTTACTGAAAGTAATTTATTTGACAGTGGTGCATTATCCTATGGGCAAAAAGGGCAATTCCCAGGCAAACCAATCTTTTATAAACTCATCACTGTAGTAAGTATATCAAAATTTAAATTTGGCACCAGATCTGGGAATCCTAGATTGCCAGTGTGGTGATAACCTCTGGAGGGTTAAGTTTGGTGCTATGTTAAAAAATGAATGAGGAAACTAGGGTACTCCCCTCAAAGAAAAATGTCTTAAGTCAACACTGTACATGAAGCCCCCTAATTCAAATTTGCCTGGGCTCAAGAAGCTATAATTCAAAACTATTATTTGAAATACAAAGTGGCAATGTGACTGGAAATTTAATACTTTATTATGCTTATTGGGCTTCAATTTAAATAAATTGTAGACCTATAAGTTCCCATTATCATACCTCTTTCCAAAATCTTGAGAATGGTTAGATAAATGAAATTCAAGACCAGATATGGAAAGCTTAGGGGTAGGAGGCCCTGATTAATTATACATGAACTTCCAGTATAGACTGGAAGTCATGTGATTTAAATTCAAAAATTTTCCTCTGAAAGGAGTTAGTTATATGACCAGCACAACTGCATTGCTAATGGAGAAGTATGATGTACAGAGGAAGATACTACAATACTAATTTGAGGTGGAAAGCATATATAAATTAGATTAATTAAAAATATGATTAAAAATTGTAACCTGGCACTGTGACAATATTACAATAAAATAATTGTCTAAAATGTTAGCAATTTTCTGGAAATCTTAGTTTATTTAAATAAAATATACAGTATCCTCTCCATTAACCAGAACCAACTGTAATAAAAAAATCAAGGAAATAATATTTTAAATAAAACTTAAAATAAAATCAATTTCTAATGGAAATGTAAGTTTAAATTTTGCCTACTGTGCCTTGAGTAAGCCCCACACTTCATTTGTCTCCCATTGAAATTTAATTAAAATTGTACATGGCATTCACAAAGCTGTTTTTATACCATAACTATGTTATCTTAAGTTTGTCTTTATTTGTCTTAATTGGACTGTAATTTTCAAATTGTCTGTCCGTGTCTGTCCATCCTTCATTAATCTTGAGAATGGAGATAGATAGATGATAATAAAGACCAGATACGAAAAGCCCAATTAACTACATACAAACTTCCAGTCTGGATCAGAAGTCATATAATTTCAATTCAAAATTTTCTTAAGAATGGAGTTACATAGATGAAAACCGAGAACAGATACGGAAAGCTTAGAAGCCAGAGGCCCCAATTAACTATACACGAACTTCCAGCGCAGACTATAAGTCATGCAGTTTTTTAAATTAAATGACGATTAAAAAACATGCAGCCTGGCATCGTGACGACATAACAACAAATGACCGCTCATTTACTTTTAATTAGCATTCAATCTTAATATCAAGTCATTACAGAGTTTATGGTATGTTACGTTTTAGCATAGGATATAGTATTAGTTAGGTCTATTTTTAATAGTAACTCTCAAGGACCCAGAAACTACAAATGCATTTCCTCGTCAAGTGGCTAAGTACACAAGCCAACGACATACAGTAGAGTCTCGCCAGTCTGGACTAATTGGGACCGAGCCCCGTTCGGATTAGCAGATTTTTGGATTAGCCGAATAAGTGAAATAATGCAGAAGCAAGCAGTAAAACAGATCCAGTTTATATAGATCCGACACCATCAACAACGAAAGTATAAAGAAATTGGCACTTTTCCAAATAATCGCCATTCCGTTCAATGCAAGCGGCGAGCCGTGGCACAAGAGGAGGGCAAAGCTTCTTTATGCCCTCCTCGAAGAACTCTCCCGCCAGCGTTTCTGTGTCTCGTATAAGAGAGTTCTGGAGAGTTGTGGAAACATCACAGAAATTTCATCCACCGTCAATCGGCAGCACTAGAGTTTGGTTTGGACAAGGCCATAATAACCAACAGGAAAAAAAATCGTGCAAAGATCGAGCAGTTTTGTGCCTCTACTTCAGAAGTCCATTGAAAATTGACAAACGGCAAGGCCCTCAACATTTGACATTTGACCTTGACGAAGCCTTGTGGTTCACTCAGAAAAGAAAAAGGGGAAACCTAAAAGGAAACACCCCTACGTGAACCTCTCGTAAGAGAAAATTTTCTCTCCGCCGACCGAAACATGTTCGGATTAGCAGAGATTGGACTAGCGGGACTCTAATGCGGTTAGTTTCATAGGTAACGATCTATGTCATTGGTTTCTCCGTTTAACCGGCATCTATCAATTCCCACGATGCAGTTAACCGAGAGTCTACTGTATATATATTTACAGGCAGTATTTTTGTATACATTTTACTTAAAAGAATCTACTGTTGATAAAAACTTCCATACATTTAAATTAAATGTGTTAAATTATTATAAATTTAGGCAAAATATATTTACCACATTTATGACGAAACAGCTTCTTGTTTACAAACATTTCATCATTTCTTGCTTGCACGGACTCTTTATATTATTATTAACCTTTCTTTAATTATTATTATTATCATCATCCTTCCAAGGAAAAGACATGTTTATAATTAAATTCGCGAGATTTATAAACAGCATATCTGCACGTAAGGATGTTTTTATCATAAGAGTAACGTTAACATCTTATTTTTAGACCGTTGCAGCCGAATGTCAAGCGACATCTCCCATCGTCTTTTTTTTTTTTTCTTTTAATCGATATCTACGAACCTCATTAATCTTTTTGAATCGATTTTAATAAGTCTTAAAATGTTTATATAATATTGGAAAGATATATAAATATTAAACAAAGCTTGAAACTTTCTTTACCGATGAGCCAATTGGACCGCGGTGACGCCAACTTAGGAGTTCCCATAAATTTAGCGGGAAATCAGCAGAATTAGAAAAATATAGAGGGAAAATGTAAAGTATCCTCATATCGGGTTTTTTAAAACTCTTTTCGCCCTGGGGCACTAAAAGAGCCTTTTTTTAGCAAGCCCATTATGAGTTCTGCCAGGCCCACAAGGGGGCGGCTGGATATTGAGGGACGGGGGCCGATATATCCGGTCGGATCAACCCCGGAATTCAATACCGGGTCCCTCAGAGTGATATGCTGCCATCTTGACCGCTCGGCCGTCCGGCCATCTCCCCATATTGGTTAGAAGAATTTCGGTTACGAATAAGAACTTCCAAAAGTTACACGACACAAGATTGTTGTCGCGGCGAGATCCGGATCGAGTTGATTCATCACATGGACCGTTTATTTTGAAAGTGGTGTAAGTCCATTTTTTCTTCTTTCGAGATATTTAAACATTTGCATTTTAGTTGATTCAAAAATATAAACAAAGTGTACTAAGTTTGACAATGTTTCTATGACTTTAGAAATATGTAAGTTGATTGCATAAAGACTTCTATGTGAATTTATCCAAACTAATATATTCTTTCTGGGCCATAAATGGACTTACACCACTTTCATAATTACTAAACTGTAAAATTCATTAAATTTCTATTATGTAAAACTCAATGTCACTTGAAACACATTGCGTTTTATTCTGATTTTGTTCATATATAATAACAAGAAATAAAATAGTATTGTTTATTCTGAACATTAAAAATATTTACTTATTGTTAAACTATTTTATGATAAATTTATCATTATTATGAGCTTACCATTAGACACTGCTTTTCATTTAGATTCATTACATGGATTTTTTTCTAGTC